GCTATTGGAAGAATGGTACCCATAGATTTGCTTGAAACAGGGATGTCACAAACCTTTAATTTATAAAAAATGCAATATCTGTGAAGCACAATAAAATGAGATATGCCTGTATACAGAGTAATTAGAGACTAGTAGGTATAAGGTAGTTTGAGATAGAAGTCACTGTCATTGAGGGGATCAGGGAAGGCTTCACATAGAAGGTGTTTCTGGCATTGTCTTTTGAAGGAAGAGAAGGGTTCTGCCAGGTGAGGAAAGAGTACAGGAGGACTGCCAATGCAAAGACAGGAATCATATATGAGGAACAGAGAGAAGGCTAAATTGCCACGATCTTAGAGTGTGGGAGAGGAGTAATGTCCAGTGAGGCTAGAATTACAGATAGATTAGAGGCAAATTGTGAAGGGTTTTAAAAGTTCAACAAGAAAATATATGAATATTAAGCATCCTTTAAATACTTAAAACATTTTACCCTTTTACACAGCTATAAATAGTCTTTTCTATCTTAATCCTTAATACAAAAAAAGTTTGAAAATATTTTTTGCAATTTTATTTTTCTAGACAGCATATCCCAAATGCTTCTTTTCATTCTTTTTTATAATTTTTAACTCCATGATGTCTTAACCTTGCTCCAGGCTAGCATAGAAGAAACTATGCTTCCCTGAAATCCTAACAATGAAAAATTATTTTATAGCCCATTCTGTCCTTTAAAAAAATTCATTTCAACTGCTTAGTTTGATTCTTCTGTACATTCATGATGGAAGGAAATGCTAAATTTCAGTTTGAAGTTAGTGAAAATAAAGATGTAGGGTTTTGAGGGGTTTTTTTTCCCTGTCCAAGTTCATGAACTCCCTAAACTTTTATCCAGGTTCTCTGGAGGGGAGGTCTGTGGACCCTAGTTTAAGAGCCTTAGGCCTAGATTAACCTATTTATTTCTAAGATCTAGCAGGTTCCGTAAAAGTTAGGAAATAACTTGTTACCAAAATGTTGAGAAGAGCACTGAGAGAGGAACTGAACCCAGTTGTTCTCTGGTTTGCCTTGTTTTTTCCTGTTTTTTCCTCTGATCTTCAAACTAGTGTGAAACTTAGTAGGAGTAGAACCCTAGTCCTATTTTGGAATCCCTAGTTTGTTACGTGCTTTAGAACTATTAATATCTTATGTCAAAAATAGGTATTGTTACTTTTAGACATGATATATAAGAGCTTTTATTATTGGGAAGGAGGAAAGTAACATGTGTGAATTACATGTTAACAAAACTTTCTAGAGAAATATGGCTCAATTTTGTAATAAATTATTAAGAAAAAAATAATTTTGATAGAGGAATGTGTTTTACATGCTACCTTTCAAGAACACATCCATAGCATTTGAGTAGATATATATTTGTGTAATGATAAAGAACATTAGAACTGGAAGGACTTGTAAAGATCATATGGTTCAGGCCCTTTTACTTTACAGATAAGGAGATGAGAGACCCTAAGAGATTATGTGACTTGTTAACTGGTCACTTAGTAAGTGTCAAAGTTGCAGTGTACTTAACTCCATGCTAGTTTGGATACCTTTCAAATAAGTGTCTCACCATCCAGGCAATAAGATATTCCACTAGATTTTAGAATGGGTTCACACAGAGAATAGATTTACACTAAAACTAAGAAATTTTTAGAGCTGCTCATAATAGACACGAACATTTTACCAGACTCAGTTCTTTCTACATCTTCCTCCTACCCCCCCCCCAAAAAAATAAAATCAGCAATGACAAGGAATCATAAGTTTGAAATGTTAGGCATTCTTCATCACTTAATTATATTTGAGTACATTTGAATGATAGATAATAAATTACAAAGATTGTTTTACTTCAGTACTCTTATTTTTTTGTCAACAGAGTTCTCTAATTGAATTAGCATCTTTGTAATCATTGCAAGCTCATCTGTTATCTTCTCTTTATTTTTTTAATCTGCTATTTAAAATTGTCCCTGTTGTGATTAGCTACTGCTTGGGCCTCCTAATTTGTACCCTAAGATTTCTTCCCTAGCAAATTCTATCATTTAGCTTCTTTTATGAGTCATTTATTTTTATTTAGGCTTGTATCAGAGAGGTTTATGTCTCTTTCACAGCAACAGTCAATTTGTGGACAGCCTGGTTCTGAGAGAAGAAAAAAAAATTCAACATAGACACAGTTGGGATCATTTTGCCCATTTAGTAGTTATAAAGTATTTTTATATTTTAAGTAGTCATAAAACTCAAAGGACAGTAATTTAAGAAAAATATATTAGATGACATATGCAATACACTGCTGAGAATACAAGCCTCAAAAATCTTATAGGGTAGTAGAAAGGGATTGATGACCATATAGCAAATTATAATGCAAGTTAAAAATATATTGAAGAAGGAGGTCTAAACAATATAGTATGGCATAGTTCAAGATCACTTATGAAAGATCAGGAAACATAAGAAAGGAGATAGGATCCAAGTTGGACCATTTATATATTGTCTTTTTATAGCATATATAAATTTAGAATGTCATATAGTTCTACCATTTGCTTTTCCTGTTTTGTTTCTGAAACCTTTAGTAAGAGTAGAAAGTAGAAACTAAAAACAGTAAGAAAACCTGGAAAAGTAAGAATTCTGGTTTTGTTTCAGTATTTGTGAGTACCCCTTTTTAAATTTTCTCGATGTGCCAGGTTTGCTTGCAAGATTATGTAGTATTGAGTTACAGATTAATAATCCTAAAACTTTTGAGGTTTTTTTTTTTAATGGGGGGAGATGGAGGTGTGGTAGAAGTAAAAAAGTAAATTGTTTTTGACAGTGTAACTTTTACCTCGACATTTCTTTGTTTTCATTTTTAAGTCCGCAGAAGAGAAGGAAAGTCAGAAAGAATCACAGACAAATAGCTTGAAGGCTACAGGTTGGATTTATTCTATTTTAAAAGAAAAGAAAGCTGTTTGTAATAGGGATCTGCAATTTTATACAGTGTCCTTTTTCTGTCCTACTGTATATATGGAAATGCACATTTATTTTGGTGTTTAAGTTTGAAATAAGTATGAGTTTTTAAAAAGTTAAATTTTACTTCCAAATATACGTAGATATTTTGTCATAGAAATAATTTCAGGAAAAGAAATATGAACGTGTGGATATTTGTTTCTAAGTTCAAAATCTGACAGATTATACCTTTTAAAATTAAAATCTCAGAATCAGTAGATATTTGCATATATTGGTAGTATGGTAACTATATGTATATGTACAAATTTCTTGTATGTATGTGTATAGATACAATGGTAGCATACATTTTAATTTCCTTGTCCCTTTGTAATAAAGTGCAGAAAGATAGAATAGTACCAATTTGATGAAATATTGAAATTGTTATATTTGATAAAGACTTTGAAATTCCTTGCATTCTAAATGTATTTTTATAGTAAACTAAGTTGACAGGCTGAAAATTCTTTAGTCTTAATAATTAATAAAACTATGAGTGGAAAAATTTTTTTCTGATTACTTTATTACTCATGAAATTTAAATGATCCTGTAACAGCTGGTTTTAGATGCCCTTGAAGGTTACTTCTCTAGCTCTAATTTTCTGTATAATTCTCTGAAATGACAGTTATGCACTTCACATAAAAGTATTTTTGCCTAAATCTGTCAATTCAGTTCTGTAAACATTTATTAAGTGCCTATTATGCATAAGGCAACATCATGGTCATCATGCTTTTTTCTTAAAAATTATGACAATCATTTCACAGAACACAATAATGGCTTGATCACAGATTATCTCTGCTATTTCTTATAGCACTGCCTGGATTTTTCCTTTGCCCTTATCATTCTTCCTTCTTTTGTGGTTATTTGCATACCTGTCTTTATATTTGTGAGATTTTCAGTTCCTTGAAAAGAGGTTCTTTCATATCTGTCTTTTTATCTGTAGCAGTTTATACAATGCTTTACAGGTAGTTTGTTGAATTTAATTGAATTTAGGTCTTGATTTGCAAGTGGTCATTCTAATCTCTTTAGCTACACTAATAATCTCTATCTTAGTATGAAGAAATATACTCTAGCTGAGAGCAAATATGGCCACCATCCTGCCAGCCATTACTGTTAGTCTCTGTGCTTATCATGTCAGTATCAAGAGATGGCTTTTGTTATACAAGTTGTTTTTCCAAATAGGATTATGTCTGACATTATCGGTTTTTAAGATTTAAATATCTGTTCTTTCTAGCTCTTCCCTTTTTGGATTCTTGTATAGTCCCTCACGTAAATGATACATATACTATATAACATCATTATGCTACTTTTTTGTTGTTATACACCTTTGTAATTTATCATCTTGTTTTTAAGTTATTAAATTGTCTTTGGAATGATTTATCATGAACATCCAGAAAACATTTTTTCCTCGGTGTCTTATATTTTTATGCTAAAGTAGAATAAGTAACAGGCAGCATAGGCAAAGTGATTGTGTGTGTGCTGACAATTCTTTACACAGATTCTTCAACAGTTTTATTAATCCATAAAGGTCTTCTTTTCACTGTAACAATTCAACACATTGGGACCTGTTTACCATCTATTTAGAGGGAGTGTCAATTGTTGAGGTTTTCTTGTGTATACCTTGTGAAGAGTGACATAGTGGATAAATAGCTGGCCTCCACACCAGGAGAATGTTGTTTTAAGTCCTGACTTTGTCACATACTGGGCCATGTGGTCCTGAACAACTTCTCTGTGCTCCAGGCAATTCTAAGGTTATAAGTTGCAGATAAGGTGCCGACCTACATGGATAGAGAGATTTTTCATCAGTTGGTAGTTTCTTATACCAGTGAATCACGGTATCATTCCTGTACCCAGTAGGGAGGGTACCAATTAGTAACTGCTATTTTGAGCTAGAAAACTAGGAATTTCAAATAGATGAACCAGTTTAATTATAGTTTATTGCAATATTTTTTAATTATTTAGTGTGCTCTGTGTGTGTATGTAAAACTCATGTAATGCCAGAGATTTCAAACACTATCATTTGTTCTTTTTTGTAGGATATTAGACATGAAGCCAGTGACTTTCCCTGTAAAGTGGCCAAACTTCCCAAAAACAAAAATCGAAACAGGTACAGAGATGTCAGTCCCTGTAAGTATTCATATCTTAGTTATTTGTCTCACTTTTTTGAGTTTTTTCCTCTATAAATATTGGATAGATAAGGTATCAAACATTGTAGGTATTCACTACATATTTATCTATTAACATTTACTTTTTTATATAATAATAACAACAACAATAAGAATAGCTAGTATTTGTATAGTGCATTATGGTTTGCAGAGCACTTTATGAATGTTATCTGATTTTATCCTCACAACCACCATGGGAGGTAGGTGCTATTTTTATTCCCAATTTACAGAAGAAAAAAATGGAGTTTTTGAAAGGTTAAGTAACTTGCCCAGGGTCACCAAGCTAGTAAGTGTCTAAAGCTGAATTTGAACTTGGATCTTCTAGAACCTGGGTTCAGTACTCTACTCACTGAACTAGTGGTTGTCTTGTGTTTGTTTCCCTGTAGTAGCAGTTCTAGAGAATAGTTGTTGATTTCTGTTTGGGGAGTAACTTTATCCACATAAGTAAATATCGAAGACAACTGAAGGTTGCTCCCTTAAATCCTTAAATAAAAATTTTATTATCAATTTTAATGAAAATTTCATATAGCATATCTGTTACCTTACCAATTTTAGTTCTATTGTTGCTATTTTATCCTCAGCATGAAAACAGAAAGAAAGTATTAGAATTAGCAAGTACCAAGATTTCTTTTTGAAAAAATTTACTCATATCCTAATCCATTTTTGCTGCCAACAGATAATTTGTCCTGTGCAACTTAATTAATTTTAATAACTCAGTGAATTTTTTTTCTTTGTGTGTACTCTTTCCACAGGGTTAGTCTATAAGATCACTAAGTCTTTCAGGACTTAACTAAAGCAAAGACATAGTTACTTGCCATTTGGTAAGACCTGTGAGAGCCTGTGCTTCACAGGGATAACCTTCAAGAACCAAGTGTCAGAGAGTCAGTTGAAAAACTAGATAAAGCAATTAACTTTAGCAAAGTTGCAGAATATAAAATAAACTCACATTTTGCTGTATATTTTTACTATATATATTTACTATATATTTCTATATATTACCCACAAAACGCAGCAGCAAAGATAGAAAGAGAAATTCCACTTAAAATAACTGCAGACAGTATAAAATACTTGGGAGTCTACCTGCCAAGACAAATCCAGGAACTATATGAACACAGTTGCAAAACACTTTTAACACAAGTAAAGTCAGATATAAACAGTTGGAAAAATATTAACTGCTCATGGATAGCCAATATAATAAAAATTACAGTTATAAATACCAAACTACCAAAACATTATTTATAGAGCTAGAAAAAATGACGTATTTCATCCGGAAGATCAAATGTCAAGAATATCAAGTGAATCAGTGAAAAAAATGTGAAGGAAGGTGGATGAGCTGTATCAGATCTCAGACTATCACAAAGTAATAATCATCAGAACAGTCTGGTACTGACTAAGAAACAGAGTGGTGGATTAGTGGAATAGATTAGGTACACATTACACAATAGTAAAAGACCATAGTAATCTAGTGTTTGATAAATGCAAAGATCCAATATAAAGAGTAAGTGACGAAACCAGCATTTGAACCCAAGGCCTTTGATTCCAAATCTAGGACCTTTCTCCTACACCATTCTGTCGCCAGGTACTCTGCCTAGTAGGTATCTAATAAATGTTTAGTGAAGTATTTTATATACACGCATGCTCTTTATGTATTCTAACTCTTCTTGAATTAACTTTCCTCTGTTCTGATTGCTTTACAGTTGACCATAGTCGAATTAAGCTACACCACGAAGATAATGATTATATAAATGCTAGTTTGATTAAAATGGAAGAGGCCCAAAGAAGCTATATTCTCACTCAGGTAATAAATGAAAACATAGTAGAAAAAATAATTGGCTATTTGTTTAGGGTTTTTGTGTCTTTTTGTTTTTTTACCTCCCTTGTTGTTGTTTTTTTTAAACCATTCTGGGCCTGAATTTTATCTTCAATAAAATTATGGAATTGAACTAAGTGATTTCTGAGGTTACTTCTACCTCTTCTGCCCCATGATTCTTAGAGTTAGAATATAATCTTCATGATGCCTAGGGGCGTCCAGGTGACAAGGGTTAGAGCCCAGGATTTTGAGTCAGAAAGACCTCTTGAGTTCAAATTTAGCCTCAGACATTTACTAGCTGTGTGACCCAGGGCAAGTCACTTAACCTCTGTCTGACTCAGTTTCTTCAGCTATAAAACAGAGATGTACTAGCACCTACCTCCCAGGATTATTGCAAGGAGAAAATGAGAAAATAGCAGGACTAAGGGAATGTTTTTGTAGGATAAGAGAGACCGAATATGTTTGTAGATTGCAGGAAAGGAGCCAGTTGAGAGAAAGCAATAGATGGTACATGAGAGAAAAAAATTGGTGATTGATGGGGATGGGATGAAGTGTAGGTACAAGAGCTAGCTTTGGTAAAGGGAGCTACCATTTCTTCTGAAAGCAGAGAAAAGTAGAAGAGAATGAATGAAGACATTGAAATTTTTAAAGGAGTAGAAGTGGAAAATGGAGGAAGATCATTCTGGATGGTTTCAGTCTTCTATGGAAAATAAGAGGCAAGCCCAGGTGATGTTAGACGGCATACATTTTTAGTGGATCCAGACTTTCTTTAGTAATATTTAGCCATTTAGAAGTAGGAATGGAACAGATGGGTAAGAATAATTGAGAATTAGCAGGACAGAAATGACAGAAGATGAATAATGGCAGTAAGATAGGGCTTGTCCCTAGAACAAGACATCTGGGCAAGAGTTAGGGCAGTAGAAATTTGAGAAGTGAGCTAGGAGGAATAGGTTACCTCTTGAAGAAAAGGCAGAAAATGAATGATTAGAGGAGATTGTAGATTCCTTTTAGAATGAAGATAGAGAAGACTAAGAAGATTGAAGCCAAAATGCCTCAGATTCACTGCTCTTCCCCCCCCTTCTTACCTTCTGTCTAGTAACAGAAGAGATTCTGTTGATTCTATTCCCTCCTGCCTCTTCTAGGCCTTGCTTTATTAATCATTTCCTCTCCTTAATGTGTTCATTGTCTCCGTCTTCCTCCAAATATGTTCTGTCATGCCTCCTTTGCCTATGCACTTCCCTGTGCACAGAATGTCCTCCTTCCCCAGCTTAATTCTTGAACACCTGCCCATTTTTTAAAACCCCAACACAAATACCATTTACTCTAGGTGAATTTTTTCTCCATCCTTTCTGTCCACCCTTTGACCCAGCTGACAATAGCCGTCACCCTTCAAGTACGTATGGCACTTCATTTTATGTCCTTCCAGTCCACTTAACATGTAATATTATGTATTATAAGCATCTCTTGTGGAGCTTTTTCCCTTCCTATACTCTTTAAGTTCCATGGGGTAGGAATTATGTCTCAATTCTGTATCTTCTTCATTATCTAGCACAATACTCTGCTGGTACAGTAGGTAATTAATATATTTTTTTATTAATAATGCTTGTGTGATAGTATCTTCATGAATTAGTCCCTTCCAAATAGAGAGCTTCCTTGTACTTTCTGTGTAGCCTTACTGTAAAGATAACTGTGGTAATTCCTCTGTCCCTTCTCAGATTTCTCCTAACACTTTACCTGGACCTTTTCTCACTTTTGGATACTTACTCAACTCTCCCTTGTATTGTAGTTATTTGAATTTTCCTCTTCTGTCCTCTCCTTCCATAGAACTCCTCCTCTTTGTTAACAAATTTTCCTTCATCCTAGATAACCTTCATAGAACTTCACAGAACTCAAGAATTGGAAAGAATTTCAATAGCCATCTAGTCCACATATGAAAGACATGCCAACTAAAATTTATCCAATCTTTTTAAACGGTTTCCCTCTACTTGCCCTCGTGCAAATTGGACTTTCTGCCTAGAAGACGACTTGCACCTGGCCACTAGCTCTAATGTCGATTCCTCCTCTCTTGTGTCTCCAGAGACCTGGGCTGTATCTTCCCTTTGCCAGTATCTCTTTGTAGTCTTCTCCTCTTTTCCTTTCAGATTCACCCCATCAATTTACATCATTCTGTCCAGATCTTTTATTGCTATAATATGCTGGCTTCCAAGTTATTCTCTCTCTCTCTCTCTCACAGAGATCAGTAGCTCAGTAATCCTATACCAAATGTGATAATATGTATAGAGCTTTGCAAATTTTAAAGCACTATATAAATGCTAACTATCATTATCACTCTTATTATTACCCACTAACCCCTAATCTCCCACTTGAGAATTTCAAAATTCACCTTGATATTCTCTCAATACCCCTGGATTCTTAGATAACTCAACCTCCAGTTTCTGTGATAAGCATTTTCACTCCACGTGTACCTTAGATTTCATCACCATTCAAACTGTACCACTTCCTGCAACCTGAAATTCCCCTCTTTCATCAAATCTTTTCTACCATCTCCTACCTCATTCATCTTAATCTGTTTTTTATCCCCATCAGAACCTTTAGTTCCTCCATTCCTCTGTGTTCTGGTCTCACTCTCTTTCCTTCAAAGTCTTGCTTGACTTGATAGCTAACTAGTTCAACTATGCACGTTCATCTCTGAATCCCTTGCTCCTTTGTCCTGCCTACTTCATCTCTGTCATTTCTTATCCCTGGACTATGACCACCATTTCCCTTCATCAATTCTCTGCCTGTGCTGCCGAATGCCACTTGAGGTCACACAAATATATGCATATAATTGAACACAGCTGGGTCCAGTGTGATATAATGTTCTCATTTCATCTAGGCCCTCATTGTTGCATTGTAGTCCCTTTTTTCTTCCTTGATTGACAAGCTATCACATGCTTCTAGCAGCTATTTGAAATCTCTGTCTTCAGGCTCCTAGTACCACTCACACTTGGCTGTCTCTCAGTAGATAACACTGCCTCATATCCCCACCTAAAAATACACTACATCTTTACTCTTCTCTTTTTTTCCTTCATCCTCTGAAGAAGAGGTGGCTCTTTCTTTGTTAGGGCTAATAGCCTTTCTGCTTGTGCCTTTAATCCCATCCTTGTCCCTTGAGAACTCCTTATTTACTGACTCATTATTGGACTTGAAACATGCCAACTTCTCCTTCAAGCAGTTGTCCTGTAGCTCTCTTCCCTTTTGTTGATGAACTCCTAGAAAGAATTGCCTGAACTTACTGCCTCCATTTTCCTCATTGCCTATTCACTTATCAACCTCTTGCAGTCTAATTTCACTCCACTGATCTCTTAAGTCTTAAGTGCACTTGGCCTTAGAATCCTTAGGATAGAAAATAGATGCCATTTCTGAAAACTGACCTTTAGGGAACACCCACAGTAAGGGAACAATTGTGCAGAGGAAATGAGCAGTCAGAGAAAAGAGGGAACAGGATAGTATACTGTTGTGAAGCCAAGGGAAAAGAGTTTTAAGCGTTTGTTGGTCAGCAGTGTCAAATGCAAGACAGAACTCCAGGAGAATGAAAAAAGGAGAAAATGCAATTCAATTTGGCAATAAGGAGGTCATTAATATTCAGGAAAGGCACTTCAGTAGAATAATAAGGACACAGACACCAGATTGGAGAACTTAAGGAGGAGAATAGGTAGAAAAAAATGGGTTTTGGACACAAGGTCCTATTATATTATAATAAACTTCTCTTAATGGGTTGGAGCCTATCTGGAGCCTATGTTAGGCTACATATATGCTATCTTGGGCCCAAAGCCAAGTCTCACAGTACAGAAAATTGTGGTGATTACCTCAGCCCTATGCTTTGCTGGGGTCCTCTACTGCTTTAGAGACCAATTGGCTATAATTGCATAGCTACTTAGGGTAGCCAGTAGAGAAGGAGCTAGTGTTACCAGATGGCACTAAAAAAGGTCATGAAGTTTGTAACTCACCCTCCCTGCTTGTCTGTCATCACCAGAGCAATTGGGGTGAGATTAGCTGCTTATGGACAATAACCCTATTTTCTCCTCTTTCCCTGCTATCCTGAAATCTACCTTCACCCCTTTTAATAAGGTAAAAGGTTCCATATTACCCTTTTATGATTTCCTTTTCAGACTGGTTTTTTCTCTGCAACACATCTACTGCCACTTTATATTTGTATCCTCAATGTAATCCTCAGTGAGGCAGCTAGGTAGTATACTGGATAGGCCTGAAGTCAGGAAGACCTGAGTTCAAATCCAGCTATAGACACTTCTTCTTCCTAGCTGGGCAGTCACTCTAACCTGTTTGCCTCATTTCCTCAATTGTAAAATGGGGATAATAATAGCACCTACCTCCCAGTATTGTTGTGAGGATCAAATGAGATAATATTTATAGAGTGCTGTTATGCCTGGCACATAGAAAGTACTATGTAAATGCAAGCTGCTGTTATCATCATCAGTACCTGGCACATGGTAGATAATTAATAAACACTGGTGGTTTATGAAGGCCTTAAATATAGGCTTGGTTTCACTGATCAAGATTATCTATTTTTGTAATATTTCAGCTGTGTAAAAATACCGAGAATGCAACCAACCCCACAATGTCCCAGTCCCTATACACCCTTAGGGATGGTCCTGTTGAACACACTGAGTATCAGCTAGTATTTCCAAACAGTAGTGTTTTCTTTATATTATTAAAATTAGAAATGGAATTATAGATATTAAGTTCTGGGCCTTGAAAGAGCAAATTCATCTCTCTGTCTTCTGATAGTGCTATCTTGAAATCGTTGAGAAAAATGTCTTATTTTTCAATAAGTTATTAATTTTCAAAGATGAAATTAAATTTTCAAGTCTGTGTCTTTGCACAGGGCCCTCTGCCTAACACATGTGGTCACTTTTGGGAGATGGTTTGGGAACAGAAAAGCCGGGGAGTTGTCATGCTTAACAGAGTGATGGAAAAGGGATCAGTAAGTATAGATTTCACTTCTCTTCTGCAATAGACATGCATACATAGCCATAAAGTTTGTTGCTCCCAGAAGTTGTTCACTGAAACAGAAACTTTTTAAATCTTTGGGCTCGGTCAATTGTTTCTGAAACTCTGTGTGCGCGCGCGCGTGTGTGTGTGTGTGTGTGTGTGTATGTGTGTGTGTGTGTGTTGTATACACATATCTCTATCTGTATCTTACTGAGTTATAAAACAGTACAGAACTGTAGTGCCTGGCTTATAAAATATAATCCAGGCTTCCTTTTCAGGACAATCAAGTTGTATATTTGTTATTAAAAAATGTTTGCTGATATCAGTGTGCAGAAGCCTGAAAAAGTGGAGAACTAGTTTACTAGAATTGCTAGAATCTAGCAGTTTCTTCTTGTCTAAACCAAACACCTATCTGTATTCTGAAGTAACATCTTTAATATTATTATTAGTTATGAATAATTAGTCCTTTCATTTGTATTTTATAAAGAAATTTCATCCCTTTCCATCTTTTCCAGTGGATTGTCATCCTCACTGTCATCCTACTCTTTCTCTAATCTTCAGTCTCTTCCTGTCTAGTGGCTCCTTCCTCACCCCCTACAAACAAGACCATGTCTCTCTCTTTCTTAAACCTGTTACTAGCATCCCTGACAGCCATTGTCCTATATCATGCCTCCCTTTCTTGGCTAAACTACTTGAGAAAGTAATCTGTACTAGCTGCCTCCACTTCCTTTCCTCTCACTCAGTTCTAAACCTTTTGCAGTATTGCCTCTGACCTCATCATTCAACTGAAACTTCTCTCCAAAATTGCCACTGATGTCTTATCTGACAAATCTATTGGCCTTTTCTCAGTCCTCATCCTTCTTGACGTCTCTGCAGCCTTTGACACTGTCAATCATCTTTTTCTCCTGCATACTTTCTTCTCTCTGTGCTTTTTTGACCATGCTCTTTTCTTTTCTGACTGCTTCTTTTCAGTTTCTCTTTGGATACTTATCTAGATCATGTCCACTAAATGGAGTATCCCCCACAGTTTTATCCCGGGCCCTCCTTTTCCTCTATGCTGTCTCACTTGATGATCTCAACTTACATGGATTCCATGATCCCTATGCAGATGATTCCCAGATCAGTATCCCAAGACCCAGTCTCTTTCCTGAGTTCAATCTCATCACTTTTTTGATGTCTCAAATTAAATGTGCCATACACAGCTCAAACTTAGCATGTCCAAAACAGAACTCACTATCTTTCCCCTGAAATCTTTCCCTCTTTTGAACTTGCCTGTCACTCTCAAGGGCATGCCATCTATTCTAGTCACCCAGATTTGAAATCTCATTGTCACCTTTGACTCCTTATTCTTGCTTATCCCACATGTCCCAGTCTATTGGCAAATCTCATCATTTCTTTCCCTGTGACATCTCTCCACTCACATAACTACCATCCCAGTTAAGGACCTCGTCACCTTTTCACTGGCCAGATTGCGATATTCTTCTAATGGTTTCCCTGCAATGATCTTCCTGAAGAGCAGGTCTGACCACATAACTATACTACTTAAGAAACTTCACTGGCTCCCTATTAACATCAGATTCAAATATTAAATCATCTGTTTAGCATTTAGAACTCATCATAACCTGATCTTCATGCCTTTCCAGTCTTCTTTAATTTATTCCCACTTATCCTTAATTCTGCATGTTTTGTGATCCAGAGGCACTGACCTTCTTACTGTTCCTCAGATATGACATTCCATCTCTTATCTCCCTGACTTTTGCATGGTGTCTAGCATGCTGTCTCACCTCGTCTCCACTTCTTAGTTTCTCTTCCTTCCTTCAAAACCAAGCTCACATCCCACCTTCTGCTGGAACCTTTTCAGGTCCCTGCAACAGCTGAAGCCTTCCCTTCTGAGATTACCTTCCTTCTACTCTGTATCTTGAATGTACCTAGTGATTTACATATTATCTTTCCCTGTAGATTATGAGCTCCTTGAGACCAGGAACTACTTTTGCCTTTCTTTGTATCACAGCACTTACCAAATGCTTGGTGCGTAGTAAATAGTTAAATACTTGTTGGCTAATAATTCTGTAAAACTATTTGGAGTTCCAAGTTAGAATTTTTGGAGATGAACGATATAGTACAGTACAGAATGGTACAGTAGATAGCCTAGTCATAACAGTATGTAAATGATATTTCACCCATCTCTACTCCTTTATAAAATAAGGAACAAACTCATTCATAAAACCATAAGCATATTATGCTATACATTTTAGCATAGTAGAATCAAATAAGGTATGTGTTTGTAGCATGTGAATCTTAGTTACTTTTTTATTTTGTTATTTAAAAATAAGGTTGCAACCTATATTTGCCATTCTGGTTCTCTGTCTCTCACTTTCATTACCTCATATGTAAGTCTTTATTTCCATGCATCATAATTATCATTTTCATGATGCCTTAATATCTTATTATGGTAAGATACCTTAATTTATTCAGCCATCCCCCCATTATTGGATATTTAATTTGTTTTCAGTATTTTGATCTGCAGTTTGTTCTTTCCATGCATTTCAGTGAAATGGTCTTAGTCTACATCCTGACTGGATAGAGTTAAAGTTAAATAGTAGCTGAATCAGTGTTCAGGTTCTCTACTGTCTACAGTTCTCTGACTTGAGAGGCAAAAACCCAAGATGAGCTTAAGATAGAGAGCGACGAAGACTAATGGAATCACCATGGCCCTAGGGCTAAGGAAACCATGCCTAGATGCATTTTCAAATACAATAATTTCTGTGAGACTCCAATTTTTCTTTGAGATATTGGCCCTGTGGACTTAACAATTCAGCCAGCAGCATTCTGCTATGGTGATAACAATGGGAGGAGTAACTTAAACATGACCTTTAGAAGAAAGGGGTCCTGAATGACTAGAGCAATGGAAAAAGGTACCCCAAAAGAAATATAAATAGTAGAAATTTTAATATTGACAAGAGATAACAGCAGAGTACTGAGTATTCATAAGAAGTATGCCTCTTCTTTTGATAATGTGTGGTTTGGGGGCATCTAGTTGTACAGTGCAGAGCACTGGCCCTGGAGTCAGAAGGACCTAAGTTCAAGTCCGGCCTCAGACACATAACACTTTACTAGCTGTGTGACTCTGGGCAAGTCACTTAACCCCAATTGCCTCTCAAAAAAAAAATAATGGAAATGTGTTTTTAATCTTTGCTTCTGCTCACCTTTTAAAGTAAAGTATTTATTTGTTGAATAACATTTTTTGGTTTTGTTTTTTGCTTGAACAGTTGGTCCTTGAAAAAATTCCTTCTGTCAGGAAATTTTACTGTGTATCTTAAATTTTATTTATTTGCCAAGCCCCAAAACAGGAGAGGGGAAAATCAGAAATTTCAAATGCAGTATAACTACTTTGAGATAAAAGCCCTTATTCTGCTTTTTGATCAAGGCAGAAAAATATTAAGTTCTTAAGATGTATTTCTAGCTATTACTTTGGAACAGTCAGTAATAGCAAGCTCAGATCAAGACTAATTAAAATATTATGATTTTCAGAAACATTTAGTAAGGAAATTATATTTCAGTTTGCCAGTTGTCTTGGATTTTAACTAAAATAATTTAAGATTCTTAGATATGTTGGATTACCCATCTCTTGCTGAAGATGCAAGTAGAATATTTGCTGTTATATAGTAAAAAGCTGGAAACAAACTGTCTAGCAATTGGGGAATGACTGAACAAATTATGATATAATGCCATATTTATGAAAAATTCATGAAAGTATGGGAAGATATATGAACTGATGAGAAACAAAGAAAGCAGAACCAAGAGAAAATATATGACTACAACAATGTAAATGAAGCCAACAGAACTCAAGGAAAGGAAAATGGACAATGTTGGTTCTACATTATTAAAAAAAATTTTTTTAAACACATTGTTTTTGCTAAACAGTAAACTAGGAAAAGGGAAAGTAAGGTGTAGTCAGTCAAAATCATTCCATTAGTTGATTTTGCTGAACCATTTTAGTGAAAAGGTAGAAGGGAAGTTGTTTTGAAAGTGACAATAATATCAATAAAAATATATTACAAAAATAAGATTTATTAAAATGTAGTTTATTTCAGTATCTTTCATTGTGTTTTCCTAAGAAAATCTTCCTAAGGACGGTAATGTAGCTGAAACTGTTCTCACTTTGCTTTTTTAGTCCCATTACACACGCACACACACTGGTACACACGTCATTTACTTCTTGGTTGCTGCCTCTGTGATGTAAATTTACTTTGATAATATGGCAATAGTCCTCAATGTTTATGCCTGTCAGCCTGTCATATTGTTTTTCATGTGAAGTTATATAAACTCAGTTCTGGGGCAGCTAGGTGGCTCAGTGGATAGAGCACCAGCCCTGGATTCAGGAGGACCTGAGTTCCAATGCAGCCTCAGACACATAACATTTACTAGCTGTGTGACACTGGGCAAGTCACTTAACCCCATTGCCTAACCAAAAAAAAAACAACCTTATATAAACTCAGTTCAGTATTTAAAAGTCATGTGTCATGTTGGTTCCTCTTCATAGCTATTTCAGTTCAGTATTTGAATCAATCCTACATTCAAATGGATAGATAGAAAATTATATGTGAGAAGTTGCAGTGTTTAATTTGCTTAGATAGCCTTTTAATCAATGATAATGACCTTAGCTGGTAACAAAACGGAGACAAAATTCAGACTCAGATCTTCTGATTCTAAATCCAGTGGCCTTTTTATTCCACACCACAGCTGCCTCCCTGAGCTAAAAATAATAAGCAATGATGATAATAAAATATGAGATACTTTGAGTTTAAAAATGCTTTCACAACTCTGAGAAGTTGGTAGTTCAGCTGTTGTAATCCTTGTTTTACAGATAAGGAAACTGAAGCCCAGGGAAGTTACTTATCCATAGTCAAATGGATATCCATGTTCTTTCCACTATACTATGCTGCCTCGGGTGCAGCTTCATTTATATTTTATCCACCTAATCTCTGCTCA